ACTCCCACTGCAAGACCAGGGGAGACTTCCATCAGCACTGCCAGCACCACGGTGCCCCCCATCAGCACCACCAGCAGCAGCACCCCGGGGACAACCACAACTGTTCCTGGATTACCGACATCCTCTCCACCTCCTGAAGGTATGTTCCCAATCCCAATAATTCCCACCAAAACCCCTCTGCCTTCAACTACAGAACCAGCAAATGATTCTGTGACTCTGTTGTCATTTTTTGTCCTCTTATGGGAGAAATGGTGTTCCGCACGCACCTCTGTTTGTGCATCTGTATGGGATCATGGATAGGTGTAATTGCTGGGCATCTGCTGAAACAGCCTGTGCCCAAAGTTGGCTCTTGGGCTGACTGCTTCAGAAGGTCCTGGGGTCCTGGATAGAAGATCTTGGCTTCCCTGATTGTACAGGGCTCCACAGATGCATGGTGGTCAGCTTAGACAAATGCTGAAGTGGTGGGAAGTCTTGCTTTTGCTGCTGTTGGACCCTGTCCTTCCTCTGTCAAGAATACAGTCATTGTACCCATGGTGTGTATTTGGAACAAGGCTGGGCTGTGTGGCACTGTCATTTCTGGCCCTCTTTGGGCACAGACCGTGCAGACTTCCTTCCAATTTTTTGCCCATGTTGTCTCTGTGGCCGTTCGTCCCACTTACCTGCAGTTCTGGGTGTAGGAAGCTTTGAAGGTTTTCTCCTTCAGAGTCTGCGGAAACGATTTCAGTATGGAGTAGCCCCTTTCTATGTACACAAGCTCTGTGCCGCTGGGTTCTCCCAGTGGTGCCGTTAGTGCTTGTCTCTGGCTGTCTGTGCACTGCTGGGAAGCAGCTGATGTTTTAGCAGCAGCATCTGTCCTGCGTCTCCTTTCCCTGTGTTCACACCCATTCCAATGTCTGTTTTCTCCCTGAGACAGGGAGGTGGTGCACGTGGTACAAGAAGCTGAGAGAGTGGTGTTAGTCCCTGCTTAGTCCTGCTCTGCCTCATGAGTGGCTCTTACGTGAGTGGTTCCTGCACATGAGAGGCCAAACGAAGCAATGTTGACCGAGCTGCGAGGGGCAGACCCATAGCTCGGCAGTGCCTGTGTCCTGATTTGGGCCCAGAGTGGTTTGTAGGGCACATAAGGGT